TTTCTTTTCCAATGTTAATACTAGTCATTTTATTTTCTTGTCCTAATTGTATACTAGAACCTTCCAAACAATTTTGAAAAAGAGTAGGTAACAGGAGAAATCGCTAAAGGTTTCTGTTTTAAGAATTGGCCACTACATTTCCTTGTTTAGTATGATGTTTAGATGTTGGATTTGGTGAAAATTTTTCATTATATTTAAAGCACCCTTTTCTATTTTAATGCTCAGTTTTATAAAATGCTCTTTTTCAAATAGAATGACACAATAACGTGGCTTTTAAATTTTTTTCTCATTTAAAAACTTCTGTTAATGTTCTTTTTTTTCAGTTTTTTATTTATTTATTTATTTATTTATTTATTTATTTATTTATTTATTTATTTTTATTGCTTAAAGTATTACAAAGGGTATTACATATGTGTCCATTATTTTTTCCCTCCGCCCTTGACAGTCCCCTAGCCTCCCCTATCCCCCAGTGTCTTATGCCCATTGGTTATGCTTATTAAAAACTTCTGCTAATGTTCTGATATAGAAACATCTTTGCACTCCTGGAATAAATTCTACTTGTTGCAGAACCGTATCAGCATTTATATTTAACTATAAGTTTTACCAGCTTTGTTTGCTTTTTATTCTGCATCTCTGCCTTCCTCACATTTTTTATTTTGCTAGAAGACGACTTCTAGCAAAATAATTGGTTAGTAATTTTATTTTGCTCCTAACAGCTGTGTTATACTTAAGGTACTCTCTGAGTTCTTGAATACCTGAAATTGACAGCATTTTTCCCCCTCATACCTAACTGATGCTTTACCAAAACAATGAGAAAATGATACCAAATAATGACATTACTTATATCAAAGAAGCACATTTGAACTTTTATTACTTGCATGATTTTAAATAATAAAGTTATGAGTTAAGAAAAATATATAAACACTTAAATTTTAGTAAACACAGAAATACATATATTTTTCTTATAACTCATAATTCAAGAGTTACCTGATTGTGGTTGCACAAAACTCAGGAGTACCTAGTCCTACATGAATCAGAAACAATTTTCACATCATAAATCTGAATTAAGTTATAAAATTCAAAGTTGATATTCACGTGTCCTTAGAGGGAAAACTTTGCCTGAGAAAATTCATTTGCTATTACTTGATATAAAATAAAAATATTAAAATATTTATCTAGTGGCCTACACAGAAATTCAGATCAATCATTTAAAAGACAAATTAGAACAGGCAATTTACTTTTTTTTACAAATGCTTCTTAAACTAAATATTAAGTTGGTTTCCTAACACAAACAAGAAAATGATTATACCTATGAGAAATCTGACTTTATTAATCTTAAAAATAAGCCATGATTCAAAGTTAATGTAAGAACAAAATAGTCATCCAATTACTCATTAATGACTACAGAAAAAACTGTAATGATAAAAACACAAATGATATCATTCCATAAATACATTTTTCTTTTTAAGATACAATTTATTTGTGTTTGAAATTCTTGCTTTGGAGTATGTTTGAAAAAACATACTGCTTCTCTACAAATAGGGTTCTTTCCATACAAAATATAAATCACTATTTAGATAATTTATACTCTAAATTATAAACATTAGACAAGAAAAACCACAGAGAAAAATAAATACTAGAATAAGACACTCCCAAATCCTTATTGATAACATTAACTACCTAGTAAATCCAAGGAATTAGCTTTAATACTACAGAGCTTTGACATGTGTGGAGTTAATAATATGATATCTACTAAAGCAGTAGTTAGTCAAAAGTCTAGAACACATTAATTTGTAACTGCTAAAGCACAAAGTTTTTAATTTTTCTTGTTGTTGTTGATTTCAGAGGAAGGATAGAAACATCAATGATGAGAGAAAATCATTGATCAGCTGCCTCCTGCACTCCCTCTGCTGGGGATCGAGCCTGAAACCTGACGTGCCCTGACTGGGAATCATGACCTCTTGGCTCATAGGTCAACGCTCAACCATGGAGCCACATCGGCCAGGCTCAAGTAATTTTTTTTAAAGTGAGTGAGCAAGAAGGTGGAGTGAGGGAGAGGGGAAAACAGAGCGTGTGTGTATGTATATAGAGAGAATTATAAAGCAAATGCAGTGAAAAGTAAGTAATTTGTGAATCTGTGGAGTTCCTTATACTATTGTTGCAACCTTTCAATAAGCATAAAATTATTTCTAAATTTTAAAAAATTAAGCTAGCAAATGGAAGGAAGTTTAAGAACTGAAATATATAAAAACTAAAATTAAGAACTGAATATGGCTAAGAATAGATTATACTAGTATACTAGTGAAGACTGAATTCATGATTGTAAGATATGTCAAAATAAAATACCCAGCATAAACTAAAGCACAGAGACAAAAGGATAGAAAGAGAATATAAGAGACATAGATGATATCCATATGGTCTACCAAATGTATAGAAAGAAGAGAGAAAATTTTTTAAATTGAAAATTTGAAGAGAGAATGGATAATTGCTTTCAAAACTGTGAAAGACATAAAGCCACAGATTCAAGAAACCCTACAAACATAAATAAATAAATAGAAGACAAACAAGGATAGGTAAAAAGAAAAACACTCCTAGGCACATCAATATAAATGTAGAAAACTAAAAACAAAGAGAAAAAGATATAGCTTGCCTTTAAAGAGGCAGCAATTAAGCTGACAGTTGACTTCTCACCAGAAATAATTCAAGAAGCCAGAAGACAATGAAGAATATTTGAAAGAAATAAACTGCCAATCTAGAATTCTACTCCCAGCAAAAATATTCTGCAAGAAGTAAAGGAAAAATAAAGGAATTTTCAGGTAAACAAAATTAAAGGAAATTTGCCACAAGAAAATACCAACTAAAGGAAATTATCAAGGATGTTTTCCAGACAAAAAGAAAGGTTATCCCATCTAGAAAATGAGGGTTGGCGAAAAGAATGAAAATCAATGAAAAGGTCAATATTGGGTAAATCTAAGTAATAGTGGCCACATAAAACAACAATATTAATGTCTTCTGGAGTTTAAAATACATATAGGTGAAAAGAATTTAAAGTTCTTTCATTGTCCAAGAAGAGGGTAAAAGTACCAATTGATATCAAACTGATTGATGTTTAAATCTTTAAGGTAACCACTGAAAGAATTATAATACCATATAATTTCCAAGTCTATAGGAGGAGATAGAAAATAATAAAAAAATATTTTGATCAATCCAAAATAAAGCATGAAAGGGGAGGGGGGAGCATAGAACAGGTAGGACAAGAAGAAAGCACAGAGTAAATATGTTACATTTAAACCCAAATATAACATTGAATTAGTATAGATGAACCAACATTACCCTTAAAAGACTTGTCTGAATGAATAAAAAAGGAAACTCAACTATATGCTATTAACAGTATAACCTATAGAAATGTTTCAAGTAAAATAATGGAACAAATCATATCTTGCAAACACTAATCAAAAGAAAGCTGGGATAGTCATCCTACTATCGAACAAAATCATCTTTCAAACAAAAGGCAGTATTAGAAATAAAGAGGGACATTTCATTATTGTAAAATAGTCATTTCAATAGGAAGAGATAACAATTCCAAACTTCAACGAATATAATAAGATAGCTTCCATATGCATAAAGCAAAGTGTCAGGAACGAGGAGAAACAGACAGTTCCATAATCATAGTGTGAGGTTTAATCATAACTCTCTCAATAAATATTTTTAAAAATAAGTGAGGATATAAAATATTAACCAAATTGACCTACATTGCACCCAATAACTGCAGAATCCACATTATTTTCAGGTGCATCCAGAACATTCACCAAATTTGATCATATGCTGAGTTGTAAGGCAAATCTCAAAAAATATCAAAAAAGTAAAATAATATAATAGGTTCTCTGATAACAATACAGTCAAGCTATGTTAATAATAAGATAACCAGGAAACTATCAACTGCTTAGAAATTAACAATTATCCTTTAAATATCTATGGGTCAAGAAGAAATCACAAGGGGAGTTAAAAACAGTTTTAAATGAATGATAATGAATATACTACCAATGTAAACTTGTAAAATGCAGAAAAATAAGAACGTTGAAAGTATTAAAAGAATATAATAAATATCTACAACCCATTCAAAGAAATCATTTAATATATTTTTCTTCACTATTTCTCCCAACATGTAAATTTTAGGTTTATTTTTATCATAAAAGCCCAGAAACTACTTTGTTCTTTAAAAAAAAGTTTATAAACTTTATTTTAGTGACTGTAGAAATCTTCAATTTATATTTCATTTTCTATATAACCCTTTAAGGACAGTTCCTATTTTTATAGTCTCAATCCCCAGAGTGTCTAGGGCTAAAATAATTTCACATGTTAATTCAAAAAGTAAATTTAGGTCTAGAAGGTTTTTAATAAGTCGTGCACAGAAGTATTACTCTCTCACATATTAGAGGTAAATATTTGTCTTCACATACTTTTCTTTTACCTGACTGTTCCTGGTAAGTATTCAAGTGTTCCTACCTCTTAATCTATAGATATAAAAGCCTAAGTGACTGTTTGACTGGTAGCTATGTCATGCACTGACCACCAGGGGCAGATGCTCAACACACAGGAATGAAAACATGGAACAGACTAATGAATCTCAGAGGGAAGGGGGGAGGGCGAGAAGAGATTAACCAAAGATCTTATATGCATACTAGAGGCCCGGTGCACAGATCCGTGCACCGGTGGGGTCCCTCAGCCTGGCCCTTAGGGATTGGGCTGAAATCAGCAGTCTGACATCTCCCAGAGGGTCCCCAATTGTGAGAGGGCACAGGCCAGCCCAAGGGACTCCACCACTGCACGAATTCGTGCACCGGGCCTCTAGTAGAGTATAATAGCCTATAGGAATGTAAACTTTCTTTTTTTCTAAATTAAATAAGCCATTTAATAAACAAATAAATTGTTTGTTTATTAAATGAAAGAACTCGCTTTTCTAAAATATCAAACCAAATATATGTAGTCTAGTCACTTACCACTTGATCTGTTTTTACGACTTGATTTCCCTCCAGTAAGAAGCATCTTGAGACTATTCCGAAACATGGTTGTGCTATTCTGGTACTCACAAAACTACAAAATAAAATGTGGGAAAATACATTAGGAAACTCGATTTTCTATTCAAAATTCAGAATTTTTTTAAATTTTATTTTATTGTTTAAAGTATTACAAATAGTAGTACATAGGTCTCCTTTCTTCCTTTTCTTCCCATTGACCTTCCCCGGCCTCCCCTACCCCCCAGTACATGCCCTCACCACCCCACCCCCAGCCCTGTGTCTTGCATCCATTGGTTATGCTTATATTTTAGAATGCACTATAAGGAATTAACTATGTTTAAAAACATAGTACAAAAATTATAACTGACAAAAACATTTAATTAATTAATATTAATTTAATGTATAAACATTTCCTTACAAGTATATCATAGTACTTTGAGTACCCTAAGAGATAAAGGTAGCACCCTGGCCAGTGTGGCTCAGTTGGTTGAGCTTTGCCCCAGGCCCCAGGAAGTGACCAGTTCAACTGCCCTTCAGGGCACATGCCCAGGTGCAGGCTCAATCCCCAGCAGGGGTGTGCAGGAGGCAGCAGATCGATGTTTCTATCTCTCTCTCTGAAATCAATAAAAACATATTTTAAAAAAGAGAAAGATAAAGGTAGCTGTCACTGAGGGTACACAGAAACAGAAAACAGAATTAGGTAGCTATAAATACAGTCTACCTTTTTTCGTTTGACTCTCCATTTCTTGGACAATTTTCCCATATGCCCAATACAGACACCCAAAGGTTTAAGAGTCTAGAAACTTAAAGCTGCTGCAGATTTTCCATTGGTCAAGCCAGAATTCCACCTCACAAGACTACTGATATACATGAATCAGTGCCTTTCCTCTTTATGTCCCATTCCTATCAAAGAAAAATCCTTCCAATTGTGCTTTGTCCTCTCCCATGTTCTCAAAGACTTTTATCCAAAAATAATCTTCCTTTTCTTTCTCACTCAATTTTTTCTCTGTACTGAGTCATTCCAATAATAACATAAACAAACCCCTCTCTTTATTCCCACATGGTCCAAGTACTGCTCCTATATCCTTGCTCTTCAGAGCAAAATTTCCCCAAAGTGTTGTCAGTACTTGCTGTCTCAAGCAGACTGAACAGAGTAAATATCAACTAAAACAAAGGTTAACAGAATATATCCAAACCAAAGCAGAGATAACGGTTAAATTTATAGAAACCAGTGTAAGGGGCATATGGAATCCATTGAAGGGTTCTAACATCCATATCACTGAAATTCCAGAAAGAGAGAGAAAATAAGAAAGAAACATTTGCAGTGGTAAAAACCAAAATTTTTTAAACATTGATGAGAGACATACAGTCACATCTTTAAACAACCAGAAGAAAAAATAAAACACATTTAAAGAAGCAAGAATAGTATACTGAAAGATAACTTTCAACAGTCATGATGAATGGCAAAAGACAATTAAATGACCTCTTAAAAATTCTGGAAGAAATAGATGCCAATCAAAAAAACTTATTCACAGTTAAAAGTGTCTGAAAATGAAATAAAAGTGATTTCAGAAAAAAATTCAAATAGTTTATCAGTAAAAGAAATACAAAAAGGGAGTTCTTCTAACAGAAGAAAAAGGATACAAGAAAAAAACACCATAGGAATGCAAAAAGAAAGAGCCATGGTAAAGGTAAATATGTTGACAAATATGAATAAACGATGACTGTAAAAATAATATTACTAGCTTAAGTTTAAAACAAATGTAGATTTAAAATATATGACAACAATAACAAAAAATTCAGAAGTGGGGTAAATTGAATTAAAGTTTCTAAGATACCTGCATTGTGCAGAAAGTGGCAGAAGTAACAATTTTACACTACACTATGATAACTCAAACTTCATGTAGTAATTTCTAGGATAGCTGTTAAAAGCTAATAAAGGTGACAAAAAGAATAGTTAAAATATCTGATTGGATCAAAGAAGGTAAGAATTGAGAGAAAAAGTAAAGTATAGTACATGTGGATAAAATATAAAACAAATAGTAAGTTGGTAGCTTTAAACACAAAATTATCTATTATTATGTTAAATATGCACTCCACTAAAAGACTATTTATGTAATAAAGCAATCATAGCAAAATGTTAACAGTAGATTCCAACTAATGGATATATATATATGTGAACTAAAATTGTTTATGTAATGTAAAAACACACTCCTACGGTGGAAACTCTTGGCCCAGACGATTTCAACAATACATTCTACCAGCAATTAAGAAAGAAATAATATCAATCTTGCACAAATTGTTCCAGAGAGCAGAAAAACAGAGAATATTTCCAAATGTGTTTTCTAAAAAAAGCGTAAGCTTGATAACAAAAGACACAAGGTCCAAGAAAGAAATATTATAGACCTCTCTGTTGGCACAGATGCAAAAATCCTAAGTAAAATATTGGCAAAAATCACATCTATCAATACATTGATCAGGACTAAGTGGGGGTTTAATCCAGAAATGCAAAAATAATTTAATACATAAAATTAATAAAATTTACCAAATCAATAAGAGAAATCATCAATAGATGAAGCAAAAGCAATTGATAATATTTAACATTCATTTATGATTTTTTTAAAAACTAGTACAAAATAAGAAATCAAAGAGAAGTTCCTTAATATTTCAAAAGTGTATCTTTCAGCATAGGTCAGTGATTGAGCGTTGACCTATGAACCAGGAAGTCACAGTTTGATTCCCAGCCAGGGCATATGCCTGGGTTGTGGGCCCAATCCCCAGTGTGGGACATGCAGGAGGCAGCCAATCAATGATTCTCTCTCATCATTGAAGTTTCTATGTCTCTCTCCCTCTCCCTTCTTCTCTGAAATCAATAAAAATATATTTTAAAAAAACAACTATAATAGCAAACATCGTACTTAATGGTGAATAATTGAAAATATATCCCAAGATTGAAGAATGTGATTTGCATTCAACATGGTCCTAGAGGTCTTAGCCAGTACAAAACGGTAAGAACATAAAACAGAAAGTATAAAGAGTGGAAAGAAAATTTTAAAATGCCACTTTTACAGACAATATGATTTACTTGGAAAACCTAAAAGAATTTATAAACTACTGGAATTAAGTGAATTTAGCAAGATCAAAAGATATAATGTAAAACATAAAGACTAAGGTGAAAACCAAAAAATAACTTACCCTTTTTATCAGTAAAGATAAATATGGCAATGAATCCTAAAAAGAACATTTCAAGCATTTATTAAATATTCCTTTTAGAGATTCATCTTGAGAACTATTCCAATTTTTCCCCCTTAATTTTACTTTATGAGACTGAGAAAAAAAATTCTAAGTTTGATAAGTATTTACTTCACTAATATTTGAAATATTTGAGTATTATATGTAAGGATATATATGAAATATACTTCATAATTTTAAATATATCATAAAATTTATCTTTTTATTGAGGTGTAACTGACATACAACATTACTTTAGTTTCATGTGTACAATATGCTTGATATTTATACATTGCAAAATGATTACCACAATAAGTCTAGTTAACATCCGTCACCATACAAAGTTACAGAATTTTTTTTGTGAGGAGAGTTTTTAATATTCATCCTTACCGTAAAATTTTAATACTAAATCTTATAACTCTTCAATTTGTATTTTCTTAGAAGATAATAAAGAACTATTTTCTTATATATCAGAATCTCTATGTGGATACAAGTGAGAAAAAAAAATTCTACATATAGGATCTCATTTAGTCCTCGTCAAAACCATGTTAGGATGGGTGGTATTTGCTTCATTTTATGGAGAAGGAAGCTGAGGTAAAGAAATGTGATAGCATGACCACAGTTTTAAGGTAATAAATGCTTAAGGCCGTACTTGAACCTATGCTCTGTGTGTTCCTCCTCAGTGCCTATTCTTAAGTAGGGAACACAGTAAATCTACCTACCTAAAGCTTAACTAAGACTATGAAATTTCTAAATCTAATGATCCAAATTAAAGTCTCAGAAGTATTATTTCATTTAGTTTTTGTTTTTAAAAATATGTATAATGCTTCTTTTGTGGCACTATCACATATTTTAATACATTTTACTTTAATCTAGTGAGTTTAAAAAAAAAAAAGGGACTGTTACTTATTGGCATTCGTCTGCAAATGCACCAAGAAAATTATGAAAAAACTTATGGGGAGGGGGCCGAAGCTGGTTTTGCTCAGTGGATAGAGCCTGGGGACTAAAGGGTCCTGGGTTCTATTCCAGTCAAGGGCACATGGCCAGGTTGCAGGCTTGTTACTCAGTAGGGGGTGTGCAGGAGGCAGCTGATCAATAATTCTCTCTTATCATTGATGTTTCTATCTCTCTCCCTTCCTCTCTGAAATCAATATATATATATATATATAAAATGTATGGGGAGGGGGAGGAAGATATCCTGGTTTAGTGGACACTATGATGTCCCACACAGATCCCCATTACAGTATCAGTACATCCATCCTCCAGGTGTTAATGGCTCATAGCTGCCTCCACTTCTCGAGAATTGCTCTATGCTGACTAGAGACACCAATGGCTTTTCACACAAGGGTACAAGAGACCAGCTGCTTTAACTCAGTGATACACAACTTGGTGGTATGATTTATGTTTCATTGCTCTCACCCATCTCTTCCTATCTCTTAGTTTTCTTCAAATACTTATCTCTAAATAATGTTATATACCTATTTGTTTATTATCAGTTCCCCCACTAGAATATAAACTCCACAATGGCATGGGAGCTGCTTGTTTATTCACTGCTGCAAGTCCATAACCAGAGAACAATAGTGCCTGCTAAATAGTAGGTGCCAAATAAATATTTATTGAATTAATGAATTACATTTCCTCAGTTTGTATTTGATTTGTCCAAGTCAAATCCCTTACAGAGAAACCTGATCTTACTCTTTTTATCCTCAGTGCTATCTCCTGGAGGTTCTCAACACTTCTTGAATGAGTAAATGAATGAATGAATAAACTGAGCAAAGACTTGATTCATCAGATCAGTAACCTGATAAAGACATAAGGAGATACAATATAAGTAACTTTCAATTA